CCGATGCTACCCTCTAGGGGGCTGGCAGCTCCGGAGCCTGGGCTTGAGACGCTGCTACCGCCGCCAGAAGTTGTCGTGGTGGAGCTCGCACTGCTCGCCAGGACCGGGGCTGGTAGATCCGGGGAGGCCAGAGCCATCTCAACCCCTCCGCTGCATTCCCTCTCACTCTCCGGGGGTCCCACGGCCGAAGTCAGCAGAGACATCGGCGGAGAAGCTGCAGGAGCGCCTGAAAGGGAGCTATTTCTTGGCGGAGACGGGAGAGTACTCTGCTGCTGCGAGGAGCGACGAGATATCGCCATTACAGCAGCTCTCAGGCAACAAAACTGTTCCTTCTTTCCGGTGAATGTGATCGCACTTCCTGTCAGCTGTTAAGCTCTGTGACACTGTCTGTAAGAAAACCCCATTTATTTACAAGGGAATCGACAGACCACACAAGTACGTTATCTATAAATGAAATGAATGCTTTATGTTAATTATGTTCCACGTTTTGGAAAATGGACTTCCTTTTGTTTTGTTCTTCACGAGTCCAGTGCTCTTTCGGCTTTTTAATGCTTTCATCTTTGTCCTCCTCCAAACACACGATCATTTATTTGGATGTCACAAATCAATAAGACCAACAACAGCTTTCATGGTGCTGTGTACAAATTTATTACTACTTAAGACAAAAATAATACGGATAAGACAATTAGTGGCAATGTATGCATTTTGTGACAAAACAGGTCTCTCATTGCCTGAAAAAAAATGACAGTGACATCCAAACAAGGTTGGATTATTGACTGGGCCAGTGCCCCGTGGCCTCAGACTGCCAGGGGCCCAGGAATGTCAGAGGCCACACCTCTTCAGAGGCTCCTGTAGGTCTGACAATTATTTGACAAAAACAATTACAATAAATTAGTAGACAAGTTTCAGACAAAAATAAGCAATACTTCAGTGTCTGGTCTGATTCAAGTAATCTAGCCAATGGAGCCGGGTTTCTTTTAGAACTGGCCCACTTCTTTTTAATTCAAGTTTATTTTTTCCAATTCTAAATGTGTCATTACTCCTCTCAATCGAGCTGTATGAGTAGGAGCTGTTGCATTTGTCCATTTTTAGGCTGAATCCTCAAAGTACCTCCCTGCCAAAACGTTTGAGGGCAAAGAAACCACATTTTGAGTGCTATTCAGTTAGCAACTCTGCATTTGAGATCATGCAGGAACATTATTTGTAAGCGCAGAATCAGATTTGAGAGCATATTCCCAGCCATGTACTCGTTTGTCTGCTGGCTCAAACTGGGGTTTCTGTGAAGGACAATCTATGCCAAACGTTTTAAAAGAGAGAAAAACAAGTTGCGAGCGCTCTTAAGTTTGCAAATCGGAATTTGAGAGTGTGCAGGCATGGAGTTGTAAGAGCAGAAACAGATATGAGAGCAAGGGAGAATCATGAGCAACAGATGATTTGAGCAAGCAGCAGGGATCCTCCCTTACTGACAAAAACACAAATCCAACCAAAGCATATACATATTTTTGAAATATCTTAAATGTTGAAATGTTGGTGCATGTCCTCCCAAACACCATGCCTCAGGGTTTGAAAACGATGGCACTTTCTTTGTGGACACAGAGTGATTATGACAGTGCTACATAAACTGTCTGAAGACAAAAAAACAGTCCCATGTTTTACTGAAATCTTTGATCTTTATTTAAACATGTGAACGTTTTAAAATATACCGAACATTAACTCAATAACTAATGTGGCTAATAAGAAAAATAAAACCAGCCAACAAACAAAAGAAGCGGGCAAGTTCCCATTTCAAGTTTTAACTGTTACTTTGTTTTTTGTTTTTTTAAATAAACAGAAACAACTCAACATTGAAGACCTGAGTGCCACAAGTCAATGAACCAGTAGTGTTCTCGCCTGTGGCAGTAGCTGGTGCAGCTCAAAGAAAGAACAGCTTGTCTGACAGCTGAAGGGCTGGCTTTGAATGCAGGTGCTGGCCACACAGGAAAGCCAGTTTGTGCGCATATTTGCAAGGTGCTGGAACACGAATGGTGCCGGTCCAGTTCCAGTACAGATGGCACATCTTGAAAGTCAGCCTGGTGTAGAACCAAAGCAACAATGTTACATGTGTTTTGGAACTTACCAAACATTAAAGCTTTTCTTATTTTGACTGGGCTGAAGACACTCCCAAAATGTCACTGGGGCCTAATTCAATAGTATAGCCTTAGTAATTCTATTCAGTTCTGCTGCTCATGAACACTAGAGTTCAGTTGTTCCAAGTTTACAA